GCCCATCAACTACTGCCTCCTATAGTGGACATCATTAGAAAGCTGGAATGAAGAGTGTAGTTGGGGTTCTAACCAAGGCATCCAATATGGAAATTCTGTATGTTGTCTTAACCCCTATGCCAAATACACATCCTTTTCAATCCCTTTCTAAACATGCAATCTCTACCATAAAGACAGAAATTGAGATTAAGAATTGAAATTGGGGCCTGGAACAACGGGTCAACTAGTTAATCCTTCCCCTGCAGGCACAGGCATCCCATATGGGTGCTGGCTCATGTTCCAGCTGCTCCCTTTCCCATCCAGCTCTCTGCTCCCGCTGGGAAAGCAGTAAGAGGATGGCCCAAAGCCTTGGGTCCCTGCACCCACATGGGAGACCTGGAGGAGGCTGCTGCTTCAGACCAGATCAGCTTTGGCTGTTGCGGCCACTTCGGGAGTGAACCAGTCGACAGAGTATCTTTCTGTAAATCTGTCTCTCCAATAAAAATAAATAAATTTTAAGAAAAAAAAGAAAGCTTATGCCTGTACTTGCACTACTGGCACCCAATACCTGAGGCCCAGTGTCAGTTTCAGATGTTCTTTTTCTGGGTAATGCACCTGGGAGAGGAGCAGAGAATGCCTAAATGAAAGGGCCTCTGTCAGTCATGTGGGAGATCTGGAAGATGATTCTGGCTCCTGGCCTCAGGTTGGCTAAACTCCAGCCAATGTGGCTATTTGGGAAGTGAACCAGCAGATGGAAGATCTCTCACTTTCTCCATAACTCTTCCAAATAAAATAAGAAACAAACAACAAAAAATAAACCTGCTTGTCTTTCCAATGAAACTGATTTGTTTTTCCAGTAGAAGCCACTTTAAACCCTTCTCTTTTCCCCATTAAGGCAAGAGGGAGAGTATTTAACTGTATCTATGAGCTAGTTATTTCTTTTATTGGTTCACACATGCCTAGGAAATATTTTTTCCTTGTTTGTCCCTTGTCAATTTAATTCACTAATGTCAACGACTGAACTTAGAGGAACAGAAAAATAGATTTTTTTCCCCTAGAAGAAATCTTAACCACTTCACAGTTGTGAAACTGGTATATTACTCAGCTTCTTTATGTCTGAGACTACTCAATTGTAATGGAAAATATAGGATAATATTTCCTTAAGAGATTAGGGGGAATGGGCCCGGTGCGATGGTGTAATGGTTAAGGTCCTTGCCTTGCATACTTGGGACCCCATATGGGCGCCGGTTCTAATCCCAGCAGCCCCACTTCCCATCCAGCTCCCTGCCTGTGGCCTGGGAAAGCAGTCGAGGATGGCCCAAAGCTTTGGGACCCTGCACCCGCGTGGGAGACCCGGAACAGGCTCCTGGCTTCGGATTGGCTCAGTTCTAGCCGTTGCAGCCGCCTGGGGAGTGAATAATTGGACGGAAGATCTTCCTCCCTTTCTCTCCTCTCTGTATATCTGCCTTTCCAATAAAAATAATAAAATAAATTAAAAAAGAGAGAGATTAGGGGGATTAATGGTGGCTATTAGGTACAGCAGTTAAGCCCCTAAGTAGGATGTCCCTAGTTCATGGTAGAGTGCCTGGGTTCCAGTTCTTACCTGCTAAAGCACACCCTGGGAGGTGGCAGGTGATGGCTCAAGTACTACAGTTCCTGCTTCACAGGGTCAAGACCCAGAATTCTGGGATTCTGACTTTTGCCTGGCTACCCTGGTTGTGGTGGGGCATTTAGGGAGTGAACTAGCACACGTTATGTTCTGATGGCTCCACTTGTATCTAGCTCATTAATGCGGCTGGGTAAGCAGCAGAAGAGGGCCCAAGTCCATAGGTACCTTATTCAATTCTACGTACATGAAGCATTAGAGCAATCTTGTCTTTTCCTATCAACCAGTTTTCATCCCCTTATCAATAATTTGTTGTTTTTGTTTAGGGCACAAAGAGTCTTGATAAACACAACTAAAACATTTCTGAAGCTGATCCTTTCTGAGCTAGTTTACCAAGTACAGCATACCAAGAGTATGCTGTACTTTTTCAATACGAAAATTCACTTGTTTTTATTTCATTTTTTAAAAAGGTTTATTTGAAAGTCACTCTATTTACACAGCCAGCGAGAGAGAGTAGGCTCAAGTGCATATGTGTGGGAGAGATTTCTTCCATTTGCTGGCTCACTCCCCAGATGGCCACAATGACTAGGGCTGAGTCAAGCCATAACCAGGAGCTAATTTGGCTGACAGGGGTCCAAGATCCTAGGCCATTAGCAGGTTGCTAGATTAATAGTGGCACTGGCACCAATGTGGGAATGCCGGCACTGCAGGTGGGAGCTTTACCTGTTAGGCGACAGCGCAGGCTCTCACTTTATATTTCAATAAATGTTTTTCCTGAATGCATTTAATTATAAATTTCAAACATTTCTCTTAAAATATTTTCTACAGTGTCCTTATGTATATGTTGTACACAGCTGCCTATCTTCCAATACTATTTAGTTTTCACTATTTCTGTCACTGTGTTTCAAATTTCACTAGTTGCTTTGCTTTCTTGTTTGCTGGGTTCTGCTAGCTCCAAGTTAAACTCTTTCGCTTTCTGAGCCATCTTTTCTGACAGTTCCAACATTTCTTCTTTATGACTTTCTTTCAAAGTGAATGCATAAATTGCTGAGTATATTATGGTTAATTTTCCATTTGATTTGTATTTGTGTTTGACTACTCTGTTACTAAACTCATCTCGTTTTTTCAACCTCTTATTTATATCTTTGAATATCAATCTAGTCACTGTTAAGTTACTTATGACACCATGAGCTGAACTTTTGGACTAGCTATTTGGAGAAAGTTTGAGGGTTCAAGTCGGATGAAAGCACAGGCAATTTAACAGGCTAAAAATCAAAATATTGTGTTGCATTACCTAATTTTTCAAGGGCTCACTGCTTTACTCAAACACAGGTTCATCTGTTCTCTAAGCCAAATTACACTATGGATGGCTTCTACTTCAGCCTGTTCCTTTATTTCCCGTGAAGTTTACCATAAAAAAGGGGTCAGGTTTTTATAGTTAAAAAAATGAGTCCTTCACCTCTAGGAAGTGCAATTTTCTATCATATCCTACTGCTATCACTAAGCATTTTTTTAAAAGTGCATTTTTATTTACTCGAAAGGCAGGGAAACAAAGAGATTGAGATCGAGAGCGAGAGATCTTGCAACTACTAGTTCACTCTCTGAATGCCTGCAACAGCCAAAGCTTGGTGGCAGCCAGGAGCCAGGAACTCTGTCCAGGTGTCCCACAAGGCAGAGCCCCAAGTACTTGAGTCATCTTCTGCTGGCTCCTAGAATACCGTCACAGGAAGCTGGACTGGAAATGGAACAGCCTCCACTGAGTATTCTTCACATTCCATTTTTCACTCTTTCCCTTTCCAATGTGGCACTTTGCCAGATCTTGGCTGCGTAAGCAAACTATACTTGTATTATCATCTGTCTTAGTTTTGCTTACCATGAGGTAGAGTCACATGGGTGAACTGCATGTCTGGTTTTGGGGTAATCAGGAAGTAGTTATTGGCTTAACCTTTTTTTTTTTTTAAAGATTATTTATTAGAAAGTCAGATATACAGAGAGGAGGAGAGACACAGAGGAAGATCTTCCGTCTGATGATTCACTCCACAAGTGAACGCAACGGCCAATGCTATGCCTATCTGAAGCCAGGATCCAGGAACCTCTTCCGGGTCTCTTCACGGGTTCAGGGTCCCAAACCTTTGGGCCATCCTCGACTGCCTTCCCAGGCCACAAGCAGGGAGCTGGATGGGAAGTGGAGCTGCTGGGACTAGAACCGGCGCCCATAAGGGATCCCGGAGTGTTCAAGGCGAGGACTTTAGCCTCTAGGCCACGGCTCTGGGCCCTATTGGCTTAACCTTAATCAACTTAAGCAGCTACATTCTTCATAAACTATGAGATCTGTCAATAATGAAAGGTAAGTGTAATTTAGTTTCCATATAGTGTATTTAGAGGGTGGGTATGTGTTGGCCAGAAGATAAAAAGCATGTATAGTTCCTCTGGTAGATATGCTTCTCAGAAAAACTAATGAGCTGGCATTCTGATCGTCTATGTGATTTCTTGTTCGCCTGATTAATGTGAATTTAATTTGAATTTACTCTCTATATGAATCAATCTATACTTGTTTAGTTACTTAACCTAAATGGCTAAAGTCTAATGGATAGATGGACTCGATCAATATTATGGTTTGATGAAATATCAAGCAATGTCCAGTATGTCACTTTGATCAACTAAAAGTTACTTGCTTTTGTTGCAAGAATAAATTCTGTTCCAAGCTGAGAATAATACAATTGTTGTTAAACTACAGAGTGTTTCATTTAGCTCCTTAAGTCGCGTCATTTTTTCCTTCTCTATTATGTTGTTTATGAACATCAACAAGTACGCTAAGTATTCTTTTGGGTGTTTAACTTTATAATTCCATTGAGATTTTACTGGTTAAAACAGTTGTATCAACATACACCAGGATCTTACACATATTTACTATGGCATGACTTCAAACTTTCCATTACCATTTTCTTCTGCTATAAACTTAATACAGTCATATCCATGATACCTTATCTTAGAAACAAATTACATTTCAAACTTACATTATTAGCTTTAAAAAGAAAAAACCTGAAAGAGACATATATTAAACCCTGACACTAATAAATATAAATTCAAAGTAAAATATGTGAATGACTTAATTTCCTTTGTTAATATCACTTTGTTTTTTCTTTCAGAAAAATGATCTAACAAAAGGGGTATTAAAAGACATGTACTTAGTTATTAAAAAATTACACAATGCTCAAAATAATTGGATGATAAAATTCCTAGAATCCTATTAAAAATCACTTTTGATGTAGAAAGTTAATTAGGTCCAGATTATAATAACAGGTTAACAAATCAGAAAAAAATACAAAAAGAGTTGAGATTGGAAATTAAACATTTTAAGAGGAAAAATTTTAACAAATGAAATAAGCAACAGAATTAGCAAGAATTTCCTTACCTTCCGGTCGATACTGTGCAACAATTGTGACAGCTTGGCCTGCATTCTTCAAGGCAGCTGCTGCTTGCTCATGACTGGCAGCTCTGAGGTCAACACTGTTTACCTGTAAATGAAACCAAATCTTAACATGACAGAACAGAATTGCTTTAATTAGAAACCACGATAGATTATTCTTTGAGAAGCCAGATAAAATATTTTAGTTGTAGTAACTTCACCTTCAAGACATTTGTGGTCCTAACTTATCCAAAGTATACTGCTCAGTAAAACAAAACAAAAGCTATCACTCAAATAATTTTGCTTACTAAAAATACATGAAGTGAGCAAAATCAGAACATCTTCCCCCAGAAGGTTGGCTACAAGCTTTAACAAATTAACTGCACAACCTAAAAAACCCAAATGTCATAACTTGGCACATTTTATTTTATTAGTAACTCTTGGATAGGAGGGAAACCGATTTTACTTATAAGCATCTGTAAACTTTGTGGCATTCTTACCCCACTGCTTGACTCAGTTCATGTTCTCCTTATCCTTTCACAAAGCAAACCACTCATTCTTTTGATGTGATATGAAAGCAATTGGTTAAAATTGTTAAGAAACCTCAGACTTTTAAAGACTCATTTAGAGAGAATAAGGAACTAGGAGATATATTTGAAAAGCATTGTGAATAGTGCACATTACAAGCCACACTTTCATAAGAGACCATTCCTCTTGTATTAAGGGGACATTTGTGGAAGCATTAAATCTGAATGCAATAAACTTTGATCTTAACAAATTTAAAAACCAAGAATGAATAGAATACAGCAATTATCAGAACCTTCATGTAAAATTTTGGGAAAAAACTATCATGTGAATTTTCCATTAAAAATTTTTCAGATATCTGAACTTAGAACTTGTACATATCAATTTTCAAAAATTTGACTGACACCCATAATTGTTAGGATCATAAAATTTACAAAAAAGAACACTTTAATTATTAAATATAGTGTATGTTTTATAATGATCTAAAAAGGGTATCACTATGCAACAAAAGTAAAGTATAAAATCAAATTCAAACATGTCTTTTTTTTAAAAGATTTATTATTATTATTTTTTTTACTGGAAAGGCAGATATACAGAGAGGAGAGACAGAGAGGAAGATCTTCCATCCGATGATTCACTCCCCAAGTGAGCGCAATGGCCGATGCTATGCCGATCCGAAGCCAGGAGCCTCTTCCGGGTCTCTCACAGAGGTCCCAAAGCTTTGGGCCTTCCTCGACTGCTTTCCCGGGCCACAGGCAGGGAGCTGGAAGGGAAGCGGGGCTGCCGGGATTAGAACCGGTGCCCATATGGGATCCTGGGAGTGCAAGGCGAGGACCTTAACCACTGCGCTACTGCGCCGGGCCCCAAACATATGTCTTTAAACTCTAATCCAATGCAGCATAATATGGTAATTACAGAATGTCTCTAGCTGAAGTGGGTGAATAAAGAAAACATAAAGGAAGCTAAACTTTCACAGATTACTGCAAGAATAATAAAAGCATTTTAATGTTTTATTTATGTGTATCAAATATTGCTGCTATTAAAAATATTTGAAGATAATGGCAGACTAAAAGATAACAATTTATTGAACAAGACTACAGATTAAAAAAAATCACTGAACATTTCAATGGAAGAATATTATCAAGGATGTTTGAAAAAATCCTTGTACTGAGAAACATTTGTGTAAATAAATTTTAAGTTACTTTTTTTGCATTAACATAGAAATAAATCACAAGCCACAAAATCCACAGTTTCAAAGTGTGATGTTTTAGTAGTTAAGCTCCATCATCATAGATGATGCCAGCATCCCCACTGCACAGGAGCGCTAGTCGAGTTCTGACCCATATAATTCTCTACTACTGTGCTGGGAAAGCATCGGAATGTGGTCCACATCTTTAAGTCCTGGCACTCATGTGAGAAATCAGATGGAATTCCAGGCTTCAGCTGAGCCAGCCCTAACTGTTGGAGCCATTCACTGGAGTTAATAAGCAGATGGAAGATACATGTGGTTCTCTCCTTCTCTGTGTAACTCTTTTAAACAAATAAAAAAGTATGTAAGTGATTTTTGAATACATCTACCCATCTGTGTTACCAACACCACCATCTCATTCTAAAATATTTAAGTATTTTCAGAAACTCTATATGCTTTAGTAGTTATTCCATATAACCTATTAAATCCTGGCAACCAACTATTTATAATTTATTCAGTGTCTTTAATCATTAAAAAGTATTGATTACTTTGACAGCTGCCTTTTCTGTAGGTGATCGTGTACTTTAAATGCTGCATAAAACTGCTGCGTGGGCCCAGCGGCGTGGCCTAGCGGCTAAAATCCTTGCCTTGAATGCCCGGGATCCCATATGGGCGCCGGTCCTAATCCTGGCAGCTCCACTTCCCGTCTAGCTCCCTGCCTGTGGCCCGGGGAAAGCAGTCGAGGACGGCCCAAAGCTTTGGGACCCTGAACCCGTGTGGGAGACCTGGAAGAAGTTCCTGGATCCTGGCTTCAGATCAGCATAGCATTGGCCATTGTGCTCACTTAGGGAGTGAATCATCGGACGGAAAATCTTCCTCTCTGTCTCTTCTCTCTATATATCTGACTTTCCAATAAATAAATAATCTTTTAAAAAAATGCTGCCTTACTTTGGTCTTAGTTGAAACAAAATGAAAAATATGAGGCTACATTTCTTCTACATTTCTTAATAAACTTACTTGGTGATGGCTTATAAATCTTTTGTTTCATACAGTTGGGACCATCTAGTTAGTTTGTTGAAGATTTTTATACCTATATTCATAACAAATACTGATTTGTGGCTTTTTTTTTCCTTGTGATGTCTCTGGCGTGGTGTAAGGCTAATACTGGCCTCACACAAGGAGTTTGAAGTATTCCTCATACTCCTCCCTTTTGGGAAAAGTTTGTAAATGACTGGTTTGGCAGAATCCATTAGTGAAGCCATCTGGGCTTGGATTTTCAGAGTTTTGGAAAATTTCTGATAATCAATTCAATTGTCTTCCTTGTTATATATCTACCTAAATCTTCCATTAAAAGCAAACAAAACAAAAATATTTATTTGAAAGGTAGAGTGAGAGGAAAATGGCTAAGACCGGGATCATCTACCTGCTGGTTCACTCTACAAAAAGCCACAACAGCCAAGTCTGATCCTGGACAAAACAAGGAGCCTGGAACTTCACCTGATCTCCCACATGGGTGGCAGGCAAATACTTTTACAATCTTCCACCACCTTCCAAGGTGCATCAGCAGGAAATTGGATCTGAAGTGTAGCTGGGACTAAAATCAGCACTCTGGTATGGGCTTCTGGCATCCCAGGCAGTGGTTTACTCCACTATGCCACACTGCAGCCTCATATTTTCATTTTGTTTCAAAAAGTGTATTTATTTTCATCTACTTGAAAGGCAGAGTGCGACAGATAGTTTGCAACAGATAGATGTTTTTCATCTTCTGGTTCTTTCCACAAATGCAACAGCCAGAGTTTGGCCAGGCTGATGCCAGGAGCCAGGAACTACATGCAGGTCTCCCATGTGGATGCTGGGGGCCCAACATTTCAGGCATCATCCGCTATTGCCCAGGACACATTAGCAGAAAGCAGGACTAGAAAGTGGAGCAAACAGCATAAGCTTGCACTGTGATACAGAATGCAGGTGTCACTTTTAGTGGTGGCTTAACATTTAGTGCCAAAAGGCCTACCTAAACACTCTGAAGTCACAGAAGGAACATCTCAACATAATAAAGGTTGGAGATAGAAACCCATCTGTTCAACAGCACAATGCTGCAGATGGGAATGAAGCAGGAACTTAAACCCGAGTACTCTCATATGGATGAGGACACCCCAAACAGCAGCTTACCTTCTAAGTCAAACACCTGCCTAATTTCTTCATGTGGATCACAGTCACTCTCATCCCTCTGTTTTTGCCTTAAAGAGCCCCTCCTGTATTTTTTAAACAGTTGGATAATATCAAATCCCTCAGCATTTAACTAAAGATGTCCCGATTTATGCTTTATTTCTGAAGAATAGTTCAGATGTAACCAGAATTCTTGGTCAACAAAATTATTGTTCACTTGCCTAACTTCTCAGTATTCACCATATTGTCTTCTGATCTCCACTCTTTCTGATGAGAAATCCTTTGCACTTTAATTTTTGCACAGCTTTTAATATCCATTGAAAAGATAATTATATATTTAGGGTACTGATCTCTTCAAATTTAGTTTGAACTTCTTGGATGTGTTATTAAAATGTTTCTCATAAAATTCTAGAACCTGCTGGTCATAATTTATTTTCTTTTTTGGTTGTTTGGTCCCTTGGACTCTCTTTTTTCAAATGGTCTTCTATTTATTTATTTACAAATTATTATTATCATTTTATGATATATATCCATAAGCCCTGGGAGTCCCCTTACCCCTCCCCAAGTCCCATCCTCTCACACACTGAGTTAACCTGTATTACTACTATATGGTATGGTTCTTCATAGTCCTATGTCCATCATTGCAAAAATGAACAATGGCAGAGTCCAGCATCCTACTGCCAAGACACAGTTAGCAGTTTCATTGGGAGTCATCTTTGATCTGGAAGTAAAGATACATACTGCACTGTATCCTCAAACGTGGATGTGATAGTCTTCATTACACAGTAACTATACATCTCCTTAAATGAAAAGCCACAATACAAAATCAACAACAGGAGAAAAACAGAAATTTACATGAAGTTAAAAAACATGCCACTGGATATGATAGTCTTCATTAAACAATTACTGTACATCTCCTTAAATGAAAATCCACAAGATAAAATAAGCAACAGGGGAAAAAAAAAAAAGAAATTAACACCACCATGAAGTTAAACAACATACTACTGAATGAATAATGTGCTGCTGAAGAAATGAAAATAAAAAACCTTCTTGAAGAAAATGATGCTGCTGTATGATCTATGAGTCAGTCGAGAACTTAATGAGAAAAAAGGATTTTTAAGAGATGGAACTAAAAAACAAAATCAAAATCCATGAGATATAACTTCTGCTGATCTTTGTTGGTGAGATAGATCTCCTGTAGGAAAAAAATAGATGGGTTTTGTTTTTCT